ATATATATATTTCATTCAACTCAGAAACTTCTTAGAGACTGGCTTCAAAAACTAACTAAGCTTATCTTGTAAACACTCTCTCAATTTGCAATCATCCACAAAATTCAAGATACCCGATAGGCCAAGATGACCTCACCAAACGCAGGGTATTCACAACCTATAAAAAAAAATTGTAGAGCAGGTGACGAACTTTTCGTAAGAACGCTTGAAATTTCATGCAATTGACTTCCAATTTAGTTCTATAAAATCATTTTTGAAGTTTTCACGTAACGATAAACAAAATGAAGCTATTTTTAGCGCATTTGAGTACTTCAAAGCATGTTTATTTCTAAGTTGTATTTTTTTCAAAATTTAGACGATCAATTTCCCGGCTCTGCATAATCAAGCTATAACAGGTCTGAAAATGATACTGAAATCTTATTAAAAATTTAACTATCCTTCGAACAAACTAGTTTTGATATTTTTTGTGCATGATTTCTTTTTGGAACAGGCGAGTCATAAATATATTCGTAAGGAATCAGAAACAGAATGGAAAAAAATAAAAAAAGATAGCTTAGGCACGGCTAATTTGACAACATTATTTTTGCTTTCAATTTAAATCTAATACATCCAATCTATGTTTGTAAAAAAGTGTAACTATATAAATTTTAATTTGAACTAAGTCTTAAGAATTAACCTTATTAATGGGCCATTTATTAGTTAAATTAAATTATTTTTGGAATTGAAATTAATATAAGAAAAAAAAAACTAATTTAGTTCATAAAAATGAATCTCTTTTTTTTTTTTTTGGTGCTAAGTATATTTAGCACGACCTATTAGGAACTTACTGACTTTTATTTTTCTTTGTTTATAAAATAAATTTTATAAATGCTACAAGCTTCAAAAGGAATTATGTATTTTATAACTTTTATACGTTTTGTTAAACTAACAAAAGGTTACCAAATTTATTCAAACGCACTTAAAGAAAGCTGAAGTTATTAACAAATGCAAAATTAAATTAAAAGTTGTAAAAAAGTTCACCATGGATTTTAAAAAGTGGCGGTAAGTATATTTATCATGGTCTTAGAAAGGGTTAAATAAAGGAAACTATTATAACCCCTCCCACAAATAAACTGCTATAAAAATAGTTAGGCTACCAGTTTTATCTTTTTTACTGTGATTGTCGCCAACCTGGGAATGCATATACATACCTGCCTACTTCTACTCATTTTGCGTAAAATTTTATTTTTATATTTAAAGTGGTAGTAAATGTATGCTATCCTTACATTTATAAACTTAATTTTTTATGTTTTGGACCACTTCTTAAAAAAAATAAAGCATATATAATAAAGCATAATTTAATTTAAAATCCTAATTTAATAATTTAATTTGAAGCGTAATTTAAATAAATATCGTTCCATTTTTTTATCATAATGTAAAATTTTCTATCTAGTCAATATAATTTGTAGAAATAATATTAATTAATTAATCGTTAAGATTAATTTCTCAATAAAAAACAATTTAGTCAACAGGTAACTAATAACTTTTCATGTATAATATTTTGTTGTTATTTTTATCAATAATAATAAATTAGAATAAAAAATTTTAATTTTAGATAATTGGCATTCTTAATTTCATGAACTTTTGCGTACTTAATTTTAAATAGTTTCATTTAATTTCGTACTTTGTTTAAAGATAAATACTACTATAATATATATAAATTAAAATAAGTCTACTTTGTTATATTTAATAATTTCAACTACTTCATATTAAAAACTATTTTATTTTATTTCCTTACTTTGCTTTTTTGAGGAAAATTCAAAATATATTCTCCGTATTACTTCCAATGTAGATAAAATTTGCTGTTAAATTACCGAGTCGATAAAAAGTACAAATATTTCGTAAATACATAATTCTAGTAAAACAAAAGTGTATTTATTTCTACATTTAAGAAATAGAGTGTAGGGACAATGTTATCAAAACTATACACCAGGTTTCAATTTTTAAACGTTCTTTCAATTATGAAATTATTTTTTTTCAGAATTCAGAATATCTGCAAAAATTTGATTGAAATATTGGATATGATTTAAACATGTTAATGTATGCCCATAACATGTTTAAATCAAATCCAATTTTAAACGCATTGTTTTTATGCGAGTTGAATAATGCAATGCGATTTTCACGGAATAAAATACGTGGATTTTTACATGCTTATTAAATTATCTAAATAAGAACTTATGACGAAATTTTGATATTAGCTAAAAATAAAATTTTTATTAAATTAATAAACTCTACATTATAAATGTATTCAATGAAATTTTTATTTGTTAAATGTTTTATTTAATAACATCTATTGTAAAAACTGAAATTGAATTGTATGTAAGTTCAATACTGTTTTGATATTGGCAAAAATCAGAACTTAGAAAAAAGAATTGTGAACGGTTATTGACTATTTAATTTAATTAATACCAAAACAATGGCACCTGTTACAATGATTATGGTTATGTAATGTAGACGCGTTAGGACGTTTATGTAATCTTTTAGTAATCATTCTATACACTTATTAGACAATTTGATTTATATAAATGATTTTTGACAGTATCTTATATGGTCAAGAAAAACGGAGAAAAATTAATGTTTACAATAAAAATTTCGTAAATAACCAGTATACCATACATCTATATCTAACAAGAATCAATTCATTTTGTTGTTTCGTTGTATATTCATATAAATTGCTGTAAAACGTATTCGTTTTCTTCTTTTTGTTGAAAAATACGCAAATTTCAAACACACTTGAAAAGAAGTAAAACTGATACATTTCAAAAGCAACTTATATGAATTAATCATCATCTATATAGTTTCTTATAGTATATTAATTTTTTTGCAAACAAACAAAAATATCTGTCCTAAAAATATGTTATTTAGAAACATTTGCTCCGTGATAAGAATATACAAAATATAGAAACTTAACCAAAATTTTAGCTACAAAGGGAATAACTAATTTTTCTAAACACAAGTTGCCTTTTTTAATATTATTAAAAACTATTATCCTCTTTTAATATAAATACTTCGAAATATGCCCTATCATAGTTTATTACTTCACTGTTAATTGTTTTCCCCCCTCCAATTGCAGTTTAAAAAGTTGTTATGTTTTGGATCTCCGTAGGTACTTAGGTAGCAATTAGCAATATTCTACTACGGTTAATGACTATTATCTGGTTTTTAATATTAATTCTTTAAGTGCTGCTAATCATTAAAACTGAAAGAACTAATTGTTTTTTCTTTTCCCGATTGCAATTAAGAACTGTTTTGAAATTTTCTAGCAATTTCTTGCATATTTGAATTACATAGACTTTACTGTTTTTTGCAAAGGGTGTTCTAACTACAATACATTCGAAGAAATTCTGCAAACTTGGAAAAGGATATGCAGGATAATACACTCACCCTGGGTTGAGTGTTTCCCATGGTGTCGGCCCAAGGCGGCATCACCCGCCTCCCCTTTCCTGATCGGTCCTAAGCAGGGGGCGGGGGTGGACGGCACGTGCAGGTGCCCCAGGTAGCCGACAACATGGCCGCCGGTTTCCACTCCTAACCGGTCTTTATACCTCCACTTCCACACAGAGATGCTCAGTTATCCTTCCTTCTCCAGAAAAATCCAGGAAATCTTCTGCCAGCAAGAATAGGAGGTCTTAAACCGGTTTTTTTGGGGGTAAATTATAAATCCAGGAAATAGTGGGGAATGCAAAGATGACAAGAGAGAGAATAGAAAACGATGGACGTCGCTTCGCGTCTAGAGGGGGGGAAAGTAATGAAAGGGGGAAGCTAAGCTGACGCCCCCTGGTGGTGGTCTGCAGAGAAACCGAACTCCAGAAACCGAATTGTTGGGTTAGTGATGTGGGGATGAAAACGTTTTTAACCTTTTGTGTGTGATCGTTTCTTCGAGTAAAAGAATCGATATTTTCTAAGATGGATCGAAATCAAATAATTTCGAACGATTCATTGAACGATTGCTTACGTAGCAATTCGAGTAAGATACAGAAATGTGTGAAGAAACGACAATGTAGAGGCAGTTGAAAGCAATTTTATATATGCTTACGTTTGAATTTAATTTTTGCGAACTGACTTTTTTTGAACAATAGCTTTCTAATAGGAAAAATAAACATAAAAATTTTTTTCTCACAAAATTAGATAAATTTTCAACTTGTTAAAGAAAAACCATAAAACTACGTGGACATAAATGTAGATATTATTAGATAATTTCTCTTAAAACGNCAGTATTTTCTCTTTTCCGTCCCGCTTTCAGGCGCAGCACCCGGCGTGAACGTGTTAAAAAATAGCAAGAGCTTATTCTACTCTTTGCGAAAGATAAGTAAAATTGAAATGGTTTTATTACCAGCATTTTTTTTTACTTCTTTTTTCCCTCTCGTAATAGGGCCTGGTTGATCCTTGATCCGTTAACAAATATTATAAGGTAATGACAAGTCTCATTTTCGTTGTTTTTATAATGCTCAGAAAAAGTAAAAGAAATGTGTATGAAAGTTCAAAGAAAAATAAAATTGCACATTCAATTGTAATAATAATAAAACAAATTGATTATGAATTTTTTTCCTCATGACTTTTCAAAATAAACTCTTAAGACTAGAATATATTAAATAAATAGTCTCAAGAAAGTGAGGCTGTAATATATTACTTGATTAAAAACTTCATTCGCTTCAAAAAATACACAAATTGGAAATAACAGTCTCTCGGCTACAGTGGTTTTTCTAGTTTTATTTCTAGCCTCTATTTTTCCATTTTTCGTTGGCAACTTTACGTTTTATATTTCAAATCACTTTTGTTTCTTCTCATTCACTCCGTCAAGTCTTGAAAATGATCACCCGGTTCTGAGCGCTGGCAACGTGTCGAGTGTTATTTCCGATTTGTATATTTATGAAGCGTATGAAATTTTTAATCAGGTAACTACAACATATATTCAGATATTTTTTCCGACGTTATTATTATCATGTAATTCTTTTTTCTTCTAAATTGCGATTTGTATGTGTTTACAATATGTTCATAATGTATAATGTGTTCACAATATGAAATTTATTTGTCAAAGTAAATATAATTTTTTTTTCGATTTGAGATTAAATTAAAATACACTTATTATAATTTTTTAAATTTCACGCATAAAAATTATAAAAATGAACATATTTACCTCATCCAATAAATATCTGCCGAATTAATAATATTATTATTTTGCTCCCTAATTTGTTTTATTACTTTAAATTAAATTTTGTATTTGGTTACATTAAATTTATTAATTTGACTTTAAATTTAAAATGATGATGCTAATTTATAAATATTAAAATTATTATATTGAGAGAGAGGACTTAAAAAGATTTTTTTACTATTGCGAGGTGCATGTTTTTACTATCATCAGGACCGCATAATTTGAATGTAAACGAAACAAATTCATAAACATATTGATTTTATCCCATTTTACTCTCATAATCTCACTTTTTTTTTCTTACCAAACTCAAAGTAAATTTCACATTTCATGAAAATGTAAAAACATTTATTGATACATTACTTTTTGTTTACAAATAAATACATTGATTGAATATTAAATAAAGAAAAATACAAATACTATTTTACAAAATAGTTATTAAAATCAAAAACAAATTATCAAAGTAAAAACCTGTTCTCAAAATGACATAAACACTGATACAATAAATTGAAACAAGTTTCGTTAAGTAATGTGTTATCAGCATAACGAAAAAACAAAGTTCAAATACTTAGAATTATTTTGATGAAAACTATAAATAAAATGAATTCAATTATTGTTAACTAAACATTACTACCTTAAATTTAAAATAAAAGAATACATTTAATAAAAGAATACATTAAATAAAACAATACATTAAATAAAACAATACATTAAATAAAAGAATAAATTTAAAATATAAAAACAACTGCTGTATGCGAACGAGATTTAGAAAAATAATTTATGACAAAAGCGAATTCAAAAGGTAATTTGTAATTTACAATAATTTTTTTATTTATGAAAAAATTATTTCATAAATGAAACGTTATGAAAAATTTCTTATTTAATCGTATGTTTTGTATTAAAATATTATTTTAAAACATTATAGGTAGAAGACATTTTTTCAAAAATAGAATTTAAATCGCATCGAACAATTAAATGTAATGGGTTATCTTTCACGTGTTCATGACCTATTTGATCAAATTAATTTAAACAAAGTATGATGAACGGCATAATTACATTGTTTTACTTATTTTTCTCAATTATAAGATAAACTTCATTATATAAAATTTCCGAATCTGATTATCTTCTTTCCTAAATATGTTAATTCAGTTTGTATTTATGTTTATTTATTAAACAAGCTTGTTTTCTTTGTTGAAAAAATTAGATAAAAAGAAAGGTGTAAGGAAGGTTGCTTATCACTAAATTGCTCAGTTTATAATTAAGTTCGAAATAAAATTTATCTAAGCTACGTTTTAAAATCATTTCGAGAATATTTTTGAGCAAAAGTACCTCATTTTCTTGTAAGCAATAAAATGTTTTCCAGTGTAAATTCTTAAAAATTTTATTAATTATGTAAAAATCAATATGTAAAAACCAATATTTAGAAGCAATTTAGCGTAAAAATGTAACCTTTTGAGGGAAGGTGGCCTATCACTGCATTATCCCAAGCTCTTTAAATTAAAAATTAATGTTAAGTGCATTAGTTATTACTTAAACATGTTTAACCAATAAGTATGCATTAAAAATTCATACTAATATAATTAATCTATAAATTATTGTCGAATTTTTGTCGAAAGATATTTACCAAGAAAAGAAAAGATAATTTCACTTGTTTTAATTATTACTGCAAAATAATATTTGCATTTTTACGTAACCATTTAAAGCATTGTAAGGCATTTTAAAGCATTTTATAGCATTGTATAGCATTATATTAGCATTGTTCTTAGAAATTATTTTTGTTATATGATGTGAGGGTGAAGTTATCAGAGTATATGAAACTTTGCATTAAATAAATAGTTATATTAAAAACATGAGTAAAATAAATTATACTAAAACAGTTTAAGTTATATGCTCATCGCACATAATTCCAAGAATGTTAATTATAGATAATAATTTATTATCTTCTTGATCCCCATGTTAGAGTCATGTCCGGTACTAAGTGTAATTCCCGGATCGCAACCACAGATTGGCCATGGAGTTGTGCAAATGTGGATTCAACCTTCCTTCTTCTAGGTCGAGGTGCAGCTCTAGGCAACGCCCAGGGTGTGCCGGATATCTGAAGATAAATAGAACAAATCTCCGATTTTCGCAAGATGAGGGGCTCTGAAAGTACCACGTCCGACTCGACCCAGGATTCCGGTTCTTGTGTCCGGCTCAGCTTCCGGAGAAGGCAACGACCACAGTTTATTTCCTGCCTCAACAACTCCTTTCCACTTGATTCCTCGAATATCCGCAAATGTCCTATTATCCTGAAGATTGAAAGAAAATTAAAGTTTAAACAATGAATCCTTTTGAATTGAAGTTCTGATGAAATTGTCTATAACTTTTATTCATAGTTGCTAACTCTTGCGCTTTTTGTGGAAAATGTTTCTCTATGGTATTCATACGAATGCTTATTGGATTCTAGGTTTAGTTAATTTGGTTTTGAAATGATTTTTTAATGGTAGTAAAAAACAAACAATGAAGCTGAACATTAAATGTACATGGTAGGTCAACAAAATATATACTTGCATATTTGTTATTAAATTGCAGCAAAATTAATGCCGTAATAAAATTAGTTTTAATTAATTTTGAGCCTCACAAACAAATTATATATTAATAATATGAAATCTTAAAAATTATCCAATTTCGAATGTAAGCAGAATTGAATAATCTCACTTTCAGTTATAAATTCAATAGTTCTTTTCCTACCATTATAAAAAACATACCAAGTTTTACTTTTCCTGAGGACAAATGAATCACAATTGTAGGACACGTTTTTTCTTCTTTCTTGAGTAACTCGCCATTGCGAGATTATCATGCTAATATGTTTAATTTATTTTAATATAATAATAGTTAAAATCAATTTGAATTTAATTTATAAATTAAATAATTAAGTTCAAATTAATTTTGGCTGATATTATACTTAAATTATATATATATATACACACACAGATATATATATATATATAGACATATATAGACATAGCTGCCAACTTTTACGCATTGGGCGTAAAATTTTATTTTTATATTTAAAGTGGTAGTAAGTATATACTATTTTTTTCATTTATAAACTTAATTTTTAAATCATTTTGCTCACCACTATTCTTACAAAAATTAAGCTTATATATAAATATGTGTTAATAACTTGGTTGTCAGATTAAGTTATTTAAAATACAACGTATTATTTAGCTTAAAATTGAAATTATAATCCCATTTTAATACCACTGGGAAAAATCATAATGGAAGGGATTAAAAGTTGGCAGGTATATATATATATATATATATATATATATATATAATAACCTCGCGATGGTCAGTTACTCAGGAGAAAAAATTAAAAATCAAAAACGTATAGATCTTCTTACAAGTGTGATTCAACTTTTTGCATTTTATTCTACATTTGAAAGTGAACAGAAAAGCTTTTATTTTCTACCACTTTAAAGTATAAATAAATTAGTAAGCAATAACTTTAAAATCTGTGAGATCTAAATAAAAAGGGCCATTTAGGCCTCAGATGCCCAGTTCTACAACAACGAACGAACGAACGAGATCTAAATAAAGAAAGTTTACACAATAGTTAACAAACATAATAGACTAGGGCTGACTAAGATTGGTACGAAAGACTTTTCATTCCAGCATTTTTTTCGCGAAAAATTAAATATATGTAACTATCAAGAGTCCTTTTATAATTTAAGCATAAATATAAAACTGCTTCTTTTCCAAGATAAAGTAGATATTGTTGAAAAGTTTAAGCGAAGAATAAGTAAACTCCTCCCGAACACTAGCAATAACTGAAATGGTTTTACTACCAGCTTTCTCCCCTGACTATTACTTACGGGGAGGATTCAAAATAATGCGAATCCTTTCATATTAACTTCATGTAAACAATCTTTCTTTTAGAAACAATAGTTTTGGAGGATGGCATAACTGTTGGAAAGATCGTGCATGAATCTTTCAGAAGGAATGTCATTCTAAATATGCAAAATTTGCAACAAGTAAGACGAGCGTAGGAAGTTTAATGCTTCTTTCCTTTTTTAAACTACTATAATTCTAAAAGCATTCTTACATAAATTCTCAAGATCACTGGTGGTGCAACTCGAAAGAAGTTATTAACTTCTCAATTTGATCCATCCGAATTTTGCGTGGGGAAAAATGAAACCATTTCTAAAAGCTTCAAGAATGATTTTTTTTTTAATTGTGCAAACAGTTTTGAAATGTGAAATCATCCAAAACGTGCTGCTGAAAGATTGTTTACGTGGAGTCAGTATAGAAGTGTTCGTATTATTTCGTCTCCCATCTGTGCATAACCGTTTTAAATAAAACCTATTTTATTTAAGTTTCTTATCTCTTGTTCAATTAAAATAATTTAGAACTTTAAGGAACCTAAATATTTTCTTTCTTGCTTTTTATTATTTCACTGTATTCCAAAAGCAAAACATCAATCTGTAAATTTTATTTTAAACAATATAACAAAATAAATTATAAATATAAAAAGGACATACTCATTTTATTTATCTTACATCGTCTGTCAAACTTAAATAGAGGATATTTGAAATTATGCTTAAAAATAGTGTTGAAAAAATGTTTGATTTAATAAGCTGAAATATTTTTTAAGGCCTATAAATTACTTCAAATGCCAATAATCATTTCCTTCGTTATTAAAATGAGTTTTAAAAATGTTTGCGATTTTTTTTTCTTTAACAATTGCTAGAAATATTATTTTCAATTTATATTTAAAGACTCGAAGGACGATATGCATTTTTTTTTGCCTTGAAATACATTTTCTTAAATTATAAAATTATATTTTCGAAATTAAAAATTTTAAAATGTTTTTTTTTGTTTTTCGTATTTAGCCCGATTTGACAACCTACTTTGAATTGGAGCATTGCTACATCTATATCTTTTGTTGCAGGATAAATAATGGGTGCTATCATTGTTTTTGCTGCATGGGCACTATTCTAAAGGAGGAACATTTTTACAGGGGATGTCTTGATGGTTATTTTAGAGTAACTATTTTGTACGTGTATTTAACATGTTTTGTACATGTACATTGTATTTAACATGTTTTCCCTGGAAAATTGAAAACACTTCAATTTTGATATTTAGAAAAATATTTATCTATCCTGAATGGTTTTAAATGACGAATAGAGATGATTAGAGCCGGAATATTAATTACAATTGAGAGAACGGTGAGAGCATGCTAAGCGAAATTTTGAAAACACTAGGATGTATGTGGAAAATATGTGAAAGAACCCATATTTCTATATTTGAAAACATATCACGGCATTCACACATATGCGGCATTCACATATAAACGCATATACAGTATTTGGTAATTGTCCTAAAGCATTTGAAAATAGCTGTTTGGCTTAATAAAAATATTAAAAATATTTCATTTAATCTAAAGAAATTCTTATTTCTTTCTAATCGAAAAATGGAACCATCGAGAAGATCTGCTAATTATCTGTAAATGAAAAAAACCCAACAACATTGATAGTGTGATGAAACGTGTGTTTGAAAAAGTAAAAAAGTGGTTACCAACGAAAAGCGGAAATTAATTATAAAAGATTTAAATTAGAAAATCTATTTTTACTGTTAATTCTTAATAAAGAAATTGATGATGTTTTCAAATTAAAAATATATCATTGATTAGTGATAATCTTTAGTGTTAATAAATATATAAATTCTAACGAATGGTTAAATTAAGAAATTGAATGATGAAACTAAATTCCATTACTTTCTTTACTTTTTTGGGCTAGCGTTCCATCACTGTTGGTCATAAAAGCATATCTTTTCCATCTTAAACTCAGAGAAAACAAATTACCTGTGACTAAAACTATTTAATAATAGTTATAGAGCAGTTACTGTGACTGTCCGAAAGTGGTGGTTGCTGACTTTCACCGGTGAATGTTGATAATCACACAGTCACTTTGATAAGTGTCCGAAATATATACTAGGTCTAGTTAAGTGTTACTGCCCGGTATACATTAGGCGGAATGCCCTGCATTAATGTTTTTTTACGATCAAGTGCCACTGTCCGGTATGCATTTAACCGGTACTCCGAACACTGATGTTTCGCCTAATCTATCCTCAGCTGATATTAAAACAGCATTACAACTTTCGACGCAGATGACACCGGAATTCTTATTAAAAAAAGAAATCTTAACCTTGCCCTTCATAAATTACAGAAACAAATATATGAAATAGAAGACTGGTGTGTCAAGTGGAAAACAGCAATTAACCCTTTTGAAGGCCGTGGTGAGTATATTTACCACCACGTTTTACCACTTTTAATTTAGGTTTCCATTTTTCAATAACTTCAGCTTTCTTGAAGTGAGTTTGAATAAAATTGGTAACCATTTGTCACTTTTAAAAAACGTATAAAAGTTATAAAATACATCATTTCTTTTGAAGTTTGTAGCATTTAAGGAATTTATTTTATAAATAAAGAAAAATAAAAGTCAGTAAGCTCCTAATAGGTTTTCTTAAATATATTTACCACCAAAAAATGGCATTTTTATAAAGTTTTTTTTTATATCAATTACTATTCTTTACTACAATTATTAAACAATTTCAATTCCAAAAATACATTAATTTATCTTTACTTGAAATAAAGGGCCCATTAAAGGGTTAACGCCGGAAAATCACAAATTCTATTCAGACAAAAAAAGGATTAAAAATATTTCCACAATACCAACTAAAAATGTTTAAGGATCAAATACCAATAGTTTAAAAAATGGCCTAATCATAAACAGCAAACGTACATGAAATGATCACATTAAAAGCATTGCAGACAAAGCAAACGCAGCAATACTATTCATACAACCTCTAATTTTACAAAATGGTAGAGCAACAACAATAAAGTTTCGTAAAATGTTCTAAAAACACAACTATTAAGACACCTTATAAGCATAAATAGTCAACAAATAGATTTTATACTACATCCTTTTTTCACTTTATTGATTCATCGTGGTAGGTTAAAAAGAAATCTTGAAACTTTAAACGCCAAAATTTAATATGCTAAATAGCTAATGTTGCTACCACTAAGAAAATTAATTCTCAACGGTCGTACAATTTGGCAGCTTTGCTAGTGTAATGGTAGTCAAAAACATTTATAACCATATTTAATTAGGAATAAAATACGTTTTTATAAATTTTGCTACCAGATTAAATGCAAAAATAAAATCTTCCGGGAAAACCGGAAGAGTTGGCAAGTATGCCTACCTAATCAATGATCCATATCTGCCCATTTGTGTGGATGTTGAAAAAAATTTTACAAAGTGGTAGTAAAACAGAAATTTCATTTGGAAAAAACTTCCTACAAATTATATTATTTAAGAGAAAATCTAGCCAACTGATAGAGATTATATACATATTAATTTTTTAAATTATTGATTTCTCACGATAGGTTAAAAAATTTGTTTTCAAACTTTTAAATTCAAAATTTATTACATCAAAACGTTTAGGTGACTACCACTAAGAAAATTATTTCTAAACGGCCGAACAAATTTAAAGCTATGATGATCGTTTCTGTAACTATGTAATTTTATTTTTTACTTAGCAGTTTTGAGTAAAATAAAACAAACAACTATAACCCCGTTCATGGATCAATTGCCAAAGAATTAGTTTGGTTACCAATTTTATCGTCTTACGTTGATTAATTACATTTCCTGTTGTCAAGTATTTGAAACAATAAGAGAAATAACTCCATTTATAGATGGGGAAGGGGAACTTTGGGATTCAAATTAAAAAAATCTATCCAATAGTTGGAAATAAGAGCCGTGGTGGCTTAGGGGATTGAGCACTCGACTTCTAAGATCGTGTTCGAATCTCAACGTTGGCTGGTCGAGACGAATTCCGCACCTGACTTGCACTGACCACAGTGCTCACGCGAAAATATCCCTAGTGGTAGATGGATCATCGGATAGAGTCCAAAACCGTAAAGCTGTCCAAGAAAGTTTTTCGTGGTTTTCCTCCTCGTGTAACGCAGATTAGTGCGGATCAAGAAGGAGCGGTTCCTCTACGAAGGCAAATTTCTTCCAATACTTCATCCAGAGGTTCCCTTGTCTTATGGATTGGGTTCAACATTACGAGGCTACGAAATTGAACATAGGTACTCGTAAACCCTGAATTGGGTCGGTTGTACAACGACGATTATATTTTATAACCGTCCGTTGAATACCAGACCTAATTTTGCGTTTACGACAACTAATGTTCAAATTTGTAGACGTGTCATAGAACAAAATAGTTGGAAATAGACAGCTAACTTTGCACTACCTCGAAGTGGCGTTAACCCTTTAATTGTACATGGGTAAATACCGCTAAAAAACAGTTTGATAATTATTAAAAAAAATCTGTTTGATTATAGGAATTATATTTTTACTGAAATATAAAATCCAAAAAAGGTAATTTGAATCATTTTTTCATCCATATTCAAAAATTTATCAATAATTGATTTTGTACTTTTCGATGATGAAAAACTATTTTCTCTTTGATATAATAAAGTACAAATTTGAAAAATTATTGTTCGAAAGTGAGCCGTGTTTGCTAGATATTACCTTTAAAGCAGAAAGAGACATCGGTGTTTCATACAGTATTTTCTAACCATAAATTACTAAAATGCTAAATATAATATTTTTCACTTATTTCGACAAAAAATAATACAGAGTAGAGAAAAAAAACCATGAAAAATATGTTTATGAAAAATTGTTCGTCAAAGGATTAATTGACGGTATTTAAAGACGAATGAATAAATAGAATGTGGGAAATATTACTCAGTACAATTGACATTTCAATATGCTTGTTATAATAAAAAAAAGTGGAAATCAATTGCAGTTACTCCTACCAAAAAAATGTACAAATAAAATGATCTTATAAAAAATGGGCTATATTTCCCGGGTGCGTAGCAACTCTAAACTTTTTTGAGTGAATTGAAATAGGAAGGGAAAAAAAGCTCATAATACTCATTAAAGAAATCAGCTTAATGTAATTAGATTCAGATTTAGAGCTCATTTGGGAGTAATTGAAACAGACATATCGTCGAAAAAGAACGAAGTAAAAGTGAAGATGGAACGCCATTAAAACTTAACTGTTACTTCAAACTGCGTATAAAGAGCAATTAATTAATTAATGGTATTGACAGTCTCAAAAAGCTCATTAAAACACATGCACCAATTAAATGAGAAGCTATTTTGTTGTAGCATAAATGAAATAAAAATTTTCTGATATTCAGAGATTCGTTTTTTTTAAAGGTAATATATGAGATAGGAAGGCGTGATACACGTGCTGGACTTTCGGCTGTCCACCAGAACGTCGATTAACTATTTGATAATTATAATTTATCAAAATAATCATTAAAAATAATGAAATTTAATGAAAATAAATAATAAAATGAATATAAATAAATCTTATAAACAACATCGAGCAATAATATGTAAATGACAACGGAAGATGACAAAATACTACTTTGATATTCGTGAAGATGAGATATACTTAAACTTACCATAATAATATAAATAAATCAATATAATATCAGAGATGCCAACTGCTCCTGACGAGTCATAATTATTTAAGAAAAATGGTAAATTACAAACTAAAATTTGCAAATATTTTATTAATTTTGTTTACTTTTTAAACGATATATAGCGACTGAATTAGAACAAATTGGCAAATTATATAAGCTTTCGAATTATGTATAAATAGTGGTGGATAAAAACCAAATAAATTGAATTTTTTAAACAAAGAATCATACATTAATAAACTACCACTCGAAAATATTTATTTTCTGTCCGGAGCAAGTTGACATCTCTGTAATATGTAAACATAAAAAGCGTAAGAAGAAGTAATGTAGCAGAGAGTCCAGTTGCTATGCTCTCCGGAAAAGTTTTAATAAATTATTAGCGTATTAAATTGTAGAACTAAAAAAACATGGAATATATACGCCTACTTATTACAATAGCAACAACTAAAATGGTTGAAGAAAGTTGCATTTTATATGATACTTCGGGTTTTCGATATGTAGTGGTGGATAAATTACATGAAAGGAAAAATACTATACTAAAAATAACTTAAATTTTGCAACTACCAGAATATTGAATTTTACAAAGTGGTGCAAGTTTGCAACTTTGATATATTATAGGAATTTAAATATAAGAATATATATTTAAGAATGAATGAAAATATAAGAACTGGTCCCTACAGAAAACTAATATATAATTTCGCTCTCATTTCCCTTTTATGTCCGCACGGTCGGGTTTATTGTACTGTCGGAGAAATGAGCTTTTGAGAAATTATAACCGAGCATTTAAGTTGACGGTTTTGAAGCCTTTGAGTGGGGGGGAGGGTTGATAAACTGAAAAGGCTATGTCAAAAAGTGTGCTGTCAATGTGGACCCTTGACTCCAATACTTTACAGAAAGTGTGTGACGACATAGAACCAATTCTGTAATGCCTTCTTCATAATCTCTGAGCTGCACATTGCGATGAGAGAGCCCAGAATAAATGGTGATAATAAAGATGAACTACACTAATCATAAAACTTTCTAATAATTATAACACTAATAATAATACAAAGATAACTTGCACGCTTTGCAAGTTCGTCAAATTGTTAGAGAAACGCAGAAAGATGCACGTTGAATCTGTTATGGTTGAAAGTCCTCTTATTAGATGGGTATGGAAGTTTAAAGAAAGAGACTCAGAAATCGACCACAAATGTGGACCAAACTTATATTTTTTATCAAGATCGCTTAAAGGTTGGGTTTTGTATAAGGGTTCAGGTGCTTGAGTACAAATAAGTACGGAAGCCGAACTTAAAATATCATTCCCTAAACTAAGCTTAATGAATTTCACTTAAACAGTTCTCTTTAAACTATTTTTTTCTAAAACTGTAATGATTCTTACTTTAGAGAGCAAAGCAAAATAAAATAAATCTGTTCGTGTTACTTACTTTTCTGACCCGCAAGCTTCCAAAGTGATGCCAACCAGCATGACGTCTCTATCAAAAGACACCTGGATGCAAAGATTTCCTTCGTCTCCCACAATTGCATCACACACTTCATCCCACATCCCACACGTTCTGAGGGCGCTGCTTTGTTGTATAATGTCTTCTGGTGGCAAATATCTACTTCTCCTTCCAGCACAACGATTGAATTTTTTCAATGCGCAATCTGGAACACCTTCTCGTCTCCTCATTCCGCATAAACTGTAATATACATTAATCGTTTAAAAATCGGCAATGAATTTCACAGGTGGCAGACCTGAATTTCATGTGTACAGGCCTTGCCAACTACTACGATTTTTTCAAAATATTTTATAGAAAGGTAGACGTTTAAAAACCAAAGCTTTCAAAAATTTAAATTGGTAATCTTGTCAATATTTTAAAAACCTCACCACGAAAAAGTTTGAGCAAAGTGGCGTTGCATATGAACTTTTAAATCATTCATGTGTAGTGGTGCGGAAAACATAAACTTAGCTACCACTAGAATAACTTTTCACAAAAAACGCAGAAAATTGGCTACCCCAGGGATGTCACTGGCGACTTAAAGGGAAAAAAGTGGTAGAAACTCAATTTATTTTATCTAAGGTTTCAAAACTTCCAGAATTTTGGCACCTTTGCCCGCATTTTAAAAGCATCACCACGCAAGAGCTGGAATAAAGTGGAATTGCATATAAAACTTATTAATCATTTATTTGAAGTGATAACGAAAATACGTTTATATAAATAAAAAATAATATATTAAAACTAAAAATAATATATTGGTATTATTATTAATATATTAAATATATACATGGCCTCTCTCTTCACAACTATTGAGCTTCTTCAATGCCCATTCTGGTGTACCATTTCACTGTCTCAGACCATGTAATCCATTAAAAGCAACAATTGTGGAAATTTAGACTAGTTTCTGCCACGAAATTCAAGCGTGGCTGTTACAAACACCGGTAACACTTGAAACTCCAGAGTCTTGAAAATGTGCTGTTATCTTTACTACTCTATCCGTCTCAAATTAGTTGCTATATTTTGGTTAAAATCTTGACCCAAATTGGTTGCTACATTTCAAATAAGTAGAGTCATTAATAATTCTAAATGCAGTTCAGTAAATCGACGCTGGTAAAATTATACTACCAATAAATTCACGATTCATTAGCTAAAAAATAGTTTTATGCGATTATTAGTATTGCGATGATTAGATCCTTTCTTTGTAGGGGGGGGGGATAAAGAAGAAAATAATCTATAAAGTATTGAACTAACCAGGAAATCATGCTAAGAGGCATATACCGATGCAATTAATGAAACTAAAAATATTTCAATATTTCCCAGTGATTTTATGTTATATTCGGTGGCTGCGTATTTCGTATATAGAATACTTCATACCCTCTACCTACCCTGAAATATTCATCACTAGTAGGAAGATAGATCTGAAATTTCAAAATTAAATGATATTTTTTTTAATAATTTGATATGGAATACAAGGCGTGGCTTTGACTCTGTCTTAATATTATAATTTACTGTATTAAATATTTATAGATAGTGTAAAAATAGTAAAAAAAGGTTCTTTTAATTCTAATTCATTAAAATATTGATACACCATCTTTCTTATCATTAGAAATATGTTCTCGAACAAAAGAAATCCTTTTTAGAATTCTTATTAAAACCGCCCCTATTTCCCCTATACAGTAGTATCAGAGATGCCAACTTCTCCGGAGATGACAAAATATTTTAAAAACCGGTAGAGAACTACAAACTAAAACTTGCAGACTTCAGTTAAATTTTTTCAACTTTTTAAAATTTTCAACACGTATGGAATATTTAAATAATTTAAAATTAGTGGTGAGTGAAAATCCTATAAATAGAATTACTAAACCAAGAATCATACATTAAAAGACTACCACTCGAAAACATTTATCCGCTGTCCGGAGCAAATTGGCATCTCTGTTGTACTTATTACTAAAATAAAGTAAGCGCCATCTACTAATGGCGATTTTCCACTGTTGCCCTAAGCAAAGAAGTACCTTTTATCCGTTAAACTTTTTTTTATCTATTTCAATTGATACATATTGAGGCGTGGTGGCTCAGGGGATAAAGCTCTCGCTCTCCAATGTACTAAACTGGGTTCAAATCCCGATGATGACTGGTTAATTCGTATTCCACACCCGGCTCGCACCAATCACATTGCTGACGTAAAATATCTTCAGTGGTAGGCAGATCATATCCCTTTGCCGCCAGGCTAACCGTGGGAGGTTCTCGTGGTTTTCCTCTCAATGTAGTGCAAATGCGGGTTAGTTCCATCAAAAAGTCTTCCAGAAAGCAAATTTCCTTTGTCTTCTAGATTGAGTTCAAATTTATAAGGATACGGAGTTGAACATAGGTAGTCGTAGTCTGCCTACGACTACGTAGTCTGCCTGCCTGCAAATTCGACCGACTGTTCAACGAGGGTTATAAAATTGATACATATTATTGATACATATACCAATATTAATTAAACAAGCATTAGTGTCAATAATAATGTGGAGAATGTTTTACGTTTCTCCTAAAAGAACTAGTATCACTTTCTCATCAATTTTGCCTTTCAATATAAAAGAATTTTCTTTTTCATTTCAATTACCGTTTATTTTAAATCATTTACTTTCATAGAAACGCGTTTTAAAAGAATTATTACAAACAAAATAAGCATGTGGTTTTTGATACTAGTTAGAAATACTAATTTGGTTACGTAATCCCCCCATGCTACAACGTTAACGTTGTTCATTTAATTTATTTGACATAGTGAAAATATTACTAAAAATAATCGTTCATTAAAACTTACTAAATGCGAAATATATTCTTTTTTTTTTATCAAACATAGCTATAAGTTAGCATATATCATTGATGTAAACCTTAAATTATTTGAAAAAAGGCAATCATCTAGAATAAATTTAAAAATAATGACTAACACTTAACCATCAATCAAAAAATTCCATTTTGTTTTCAACTCATTCGTCTCGAACGATTCGTAGTAGAATGTTTTGGTCGCACTATCAGTGTGCCAAATTTAACACTCTCGGTCAAATGGTTTTGGTCATTCAGTTTTATAGATATTGATAAAATATTTGGAGAGGAAACAAAAGTTTATGTTCTGTTTAAAATAATCTTAACACGTTGAATGCCATGCTAATTTTACATGGCTTTCTCGTCTGACCACTCGGTAAATAACTGCAAACTAAATTTGCAAATGTTAAACAAATTTTACTACTTTTTAAAAGGTTTAGCTTGACATATCTGAAAAAAAAGTGGTGAATTATATAAGTCTATGAATTGTTTAGAAATAGTGGTGGATAAATATCGACTAAATTGAATTTATTCAATCAAGAGTCACAAATTATAAACTACCACTTGAAAACATTTATTCGCTGTCCGGAGCAAGTGGGCATCTCTGTGTATATAAATAAAACTATTTTTGTGTGTTCAATATTGCATTAATTTTTTTCAAACCATTTTAGTAACGATAATAATTTTAAAAAATTAAAATTTTACTCGAATTATGTGTTTTGAATAATCTTAGCTTCGCCGGCCATCAGCGACCCCCATGGCATTCAACGTGTTGAAACAATAAAAATATATTATTATTAGATGCATTTTTTATTTGAACATGAGTAAAAATAGCTCACAAGAAAGTTGTCATATTGTTTTACATATCCTTGTTTTACTGTGTTTAATTTTTTTTCTCCAAAGTATTTTAAACTCGATACATAAAATATTTAAATTGTTATTATCAAATGATTCGAATGTTCTCAGAATTTCGCAAGATATTTACGCCACATGTAAGACGAATGAAAGAACCTAGGAGAAGATTAAAAAATTTTAATTTATCTAACAAAGGGATTTAATGCTTACTTTTGTTTAGCAAATGATGCAGAAAAATTAGAAATACAAAATTTATTTCCCTTAAAAATTCTCAATTCAGTAAAGAAATTCGATGAATTCGAAATTGCATCGATTTGGGTTTCTGCAGTTGCTAAAAATAAACATTATTTTTCTCAAGATTCTTATATTCTCCTTCTCATATCATCTTTCATGTTCGACGGAAGCAGTTTTTAAAAAATCCAATCTGTAAGCAAACAGAAATATTTTTTAAAAATCTCTTTCCTATGTTTTTTTAGGAATTTATATTTTCTGAAAAAGCTTTATAAAACACTAAAGATTGTCCCAGTTGTTTAAAAATATTGTTTATTTTTTTATAACAGTGAGACACATATTTGTAAGCCGGATCGAATAAACTGCTATTTATCTTTTAATGTAATTTAGTTTGTCAACCGTTATCTAAATTTTTAAAATTTTAAATTAATACCTCAAATTCGAAGGTAAAACTGAAATTAAAATTCCTAAAGGACCCTGATGGTTATTGTTTTTATTCTTTTGTATTATATTGTGTGCTAAAATATATTTTAAATCCATTTAACAATTCTATGCATTCAGACTATAGTATAGTAAAACTAACTATACATCAAGAATATAGAATAGTAAAACTATAGGTACTACTCAATAAATTTTTTATTTCGAATTTTGTAGATATATTTACAATTAAGTTATTTACCTGATTATGATAAAATAACTTTGCTAACCCGTGGTTTCCTTGAAAACAAACGTATTAGAGAAAACCGTATATAAGATAAGACCTTTTACATATTACAAATTTGTTGTACAATAACTTTGCTAACACAGATACTTCCAGATTATAATATAGTAAAACTAACTATATATCCAGAATATAGGTAATTCTCAAAATTATAGGTAAAACTATAGGTGCTACTCAATAGGTTTTTTATTTCGAATTATGTAGACATTTTTATGATTAAGTTATCCACCTGATTATTGTAAAATAATTTTGCTAATTCATGGGTCCCTTGAAAGCAAACTATATAAGATAAAAATAATTACGTGCTACTAAGTTGTCGTAAAATAACTTTGCTAAAACAGGGATTCTTTGAAAACAAAGCGTACAAAAGAGCAAATTTATTAATTTCATTTCATTTTTTTATTTATAATATAACTTTGCAAAATAACTTTGCTAAAATAACTTCTTTGAAAACAAAGCGTACAAAGGAGCAAATTTATTAATTAAACCTCATTTTTTTATTTATAATATAACTTTGTAAAATAGCTTTGCTAAAACAGGGATTCTTTGAAAACAAAGCGTACAAAAGAGCAAATTTATTAATTAA